GGATAAATGCACGACCCTCTGTGACCCACTATGAGAAATAAAACGACTCACTTTGAGAAATACGACCCACTATGAGAAATAAAACAACCATTGCCACCCGAACTATAAGATGGCATTTTGGGAAGGTTGGGCGGGGGTAGGTGGGGAATGAAAGTAGGTAGGGGTTGGGGATTTCTTTTTAACTGTTTTTTGAAAGACATTTCTTAGCAGTGACATAGTAGCCTTTTGTCCTCCTCTAATGTGGACCATTGCGTAACCTAACAACTGAACTTTGCAAAGTGCTCTACATAAGCTTGGCCAGTGGGTAATAAACACACGCTTCTAAGCTAATTTGTTGATTCATATATATCTCTGCTGCGCCAGCACGGCGAAGGGTTAACACTCGCAAACTCCAAAACCAGCAAAACTTCTTTTTTGCATAGAGGTATCCAATGCGTAACTTTATGATGCGTGATGGGTGACACGCGGCCAGCAATCGATCGATCAAATAAGCTGGATGGACGAACTCTACTCTGAAAGATCTCATGTTAAAAGAAAAGTCATGGATTCTACAGTTGGACTCGAAACTTACAATTTACTAACAAGAAATGCAAAAACAGCCGAGGACTAACAAACGGAACGGATAAGAAAATCTTGGCCTAAAGCTCTTGAGCAAAAGCTTCTAGAAATTAAATCGCTGCAAATTTTTGTCATGTCTTGTTTTGTTAAAACGTGAACTTAGACGAACGATTCCTGATTCCTCCACTGAACAATTGAACTGAAGGTAAGTCACTGAATTTCCATTCATCTATGGGAGCTTTTAGAGGATCACGAAATACAGCTGTTGGAAAGACAACTTTTCGCGTCTGCAAGTTTACAATTTTGAGGCCAAACCATGAGTACTCCATTTTCGCAGAACAATCGAAAGAAGCCTAGACTAGTTGACAAAGTTAAGGGACCTATGAAGATCCACCTTTGCACTGCTCTGATTTAAATGAGGGGATAGAGGTCGATTTTGGTGGCGCAGCATTCTCATAGGAAAATTGCATTAATATTCATAATATTTATCAGAAAACTAGATGACATGGAATAAAAATAACAAAGAAGTAAAAACAAACTGAGCGATAAAAAAAAAAAAAATTGAAATTCATTAAAACTAAAAAGAAAACAAAATAAAAATAAATTGAAAGTAAAATGGAAACAAAATTAAAATAAACTGAAAGCAAACTGAGAAACAAAATAAAAACGACATTGGAAATCAAATCAAAGCAATTGATTTTCAAGATAATTTGGTTTTATCAACTGGGTTAATAATGTGAATTGGCCAACGTAAAGAGATTCGAAAGCTGACGTTTCGAGCGTTAGCCCTTCTTTGGAGCGAATCGAGGAGTTGTGGCCAGTGTGTGTGGTTTACATATAGAAAGATGAAGCTATGCTATCGGTGGGTGCATGGTAACGTGAAAAACAACAGAATAAATTAGTTGAATGAAAAGCGTTCGTCGATACCGTAAGGATTAAGAGTGCCGACTAGGCGACCGATTCCGAGAACACCTTCGTGACGTACGTAGAGAAAGACGACAAAAACGCATCTAAACCGGTCGCGAGACCCTTTAATCTCCCCAATCATTCTAAGCAACATATGGCAGTCTGCGACTTTTCCCTACATCAAAGAAGCACGGAAAGCCGCAAAACTCTATAACAAAAATTTGTTTTTCAAATCGGCACTCTTAATCCTCACGGTATCAACAAACGCTTTTCATTCAACTAATTTATTCTGTTGTTTTCCATGTTACCATGCACCAACCAATAGATATCTGATGTTATAAAGAATAGGGACAGTGATCTTTTCAAAAGAATCACAAGTGACACTGGCCATGTA